TATATCTTAAAAATTAAAAATAAATATCGAGTAAAAAGTAGAATTTACAATAACCCTCTACACATACTCAAATTTAAATCACTAAGGTTTAGCTGTATTAAATTAATTAAAGCAAGTTATAATAATTATATTGAATGCGTTGAAAGTAACCTACAAAAAAATCCTAAATAGTTTTGGACACACTTAAAAAACGTAAAAAAACCATCAAACACGTACCCAGCCAGAATGGTACTTAACAATAAAGTTGCTACCGACGGACCAGGAGTGTGCAATCTCTTTGCTGAATCCTTTACTTCCGTATACGAGAGGAGAGACCAACCCTGCAGAAACATTCCCCTACAAACAGTTACCATAAACAATCTCTGTTTAATAAACATCAATGTTAAGGAAGTAATAAAAAAATAAAAAGACTTGACGCAAAGAAAGGTGCTGGACCCGACGATCTTCCTCCATCGTTTATTAAGAAGTGTGCTAAAGCGTTGTCTTTGCCTATCTGTATTATCTTTAATACATCCCTCAGTACCGGGGTCTTCCCAGATATGTGGAAACTTGCAAGAATAGTGCTTGTGTACAAAAAAGGGAATAGAGATAATATTGTCAACTACAGACCCATATCAATATTATCAGTTGTCTCTAAGATTTTTGAGTCCTTAATCTCGCCTATATTGTCACGCCATGTCCGCCACGCTATCTCAGACACCCAACACGGATTTATGACATCTCGATCTACTGTCACAAACCTTTCATGTTTTTTGAATTTTATAACACCCTACGTCGACTCACGTTTTCAAGTAGATGCTATCTACACCGATTTCTCCAAAGCCTTCGACAGGGTGAATCACCAGTTGTTAATAGCGAAACTATTATCTTTCGGAATCGGAGGGCCATTACTTTCGTGGTTCGATTCATATTTAAAAGATAGATTTTCATACGTAGTGATTAGAGGCTACTTTTCTCAGAAATATGGGTGCACCTCGGGAGTGCCCCAGGGATCCATATTAGGACCCTTATTATTCACATTGAAAATATTTTCGTAAATCGGCATGTAAAATGCTTGTGTTTTATACAGAATTCTAAATGTTTCAACTTGGGAAGATCTGAAACTCGAAAAGACTTCACTTCTTAGTTAAAAGTAAATTAGAGTACGGCACCATCGTATGGAGCCCTAATTATCAGATACACAAAGATCGTATAGAAAACATTCAAAGACGATTCACTCAATATTGTTCTAGTGGTAATCATATGGAATCCTATTCCACTCGTCTCCTAAAACTAAAATTAAACTCACTATCGGACAGACGTAAACTACATGATTTAGTTTTTTTACACAAGCTTACAAATGGGACTATAGATTCTGCAGAATTACTATCACAAATATTGTCCAAAGTTCCCTACCGTGTGCCGCGTTTTTCGATTCCCTTACTTAAACACAAATTGTATAACGAATGTGTCCTTAAAGATAAGACTATTGACTTATTTAGCGATAGTATAAAATCTTTTAGAGCCAAAATTGTCAATCTATTAAATAACTCGTAGTAAAAATTGTACCTCAACTTTATATAAACTCGTAAATGTTGTTATTTTTATATATTTTTATTTTTCATATATTTCGTATTGTCTATGTAGGGGATGAAAGCGAGTGGACTGTATTTAATTTATTGTGTTGTATTTCTATTAATACGCTAGGAGTTACTATTTACTTTGCAACTGAATTAAAACATCTGTCTGACTATAAAAAAAGGTTGAGTAGAAATTAAATTACTTGACAAAATGACACACTATATTTACACTATTTACAATTGCAGTAGTTAACACTAATAGGGATTCTTGTTGGTTTTTCTGTTCGGGTTGCTTGCTGTTGCTTGAGTTGCCGCCGCTCGAATTGCCGCCGATCGAATGAAAAATCGTTTTTTTTTGCGCCCGAAGCAAATAAAGGGCTACCCTATACGTAGGGAGGCGGAAAATGCATTACGCATACCACGATAGCCGGTCTATCGTGGTTATGAGGGACTCACATCCTACCGGGGAACCTAAGTGATACCCTCTAAAAACCGCCTTTAGGGACAGGCAACTGGCTGATTAAGCTTTATTGTGCCTTATCGTGAGCGACCCTTTTTTGAGAAAAGAGGGCGCAGGCGGCTACGAGCCGCTGAGGGAGTGCCTACGAAGGCAAATTAATTATGAATAAATAATTTAATTTAATTAGAGTTGGCCTGAGCCGCCAGGAGGCAGTTCAGGTCGTTTGATAGTTTATTAGGCGAGAGTTTGAGTTTCTCGGCCTGCGGACTCGATAGCGAGAGGGGGGTGGGGCTGCATAAGTAGCTGCCTCACGAATTAAATGGTTTGAGTGCAACTCTGAGGCTTTGAAGAAGTTCTCAGAGAGTTTTTTGAGAAATTGTTGAATTGTGGGGAGCTCTAGGTCCCGATGAAGGTCGGCATTACGGACGTACCAAGGTGCGTTCGCAACTCGACGACAAAAAAGGTTTTGAACTATCTGGAGTTCATTAACTATTTTAGGGTCGGCGTGGGCAAAAACGGGGCCCGCGTAGGACATGACTGGTCGTATACAGACCTTATAAAGTGTACGCTTGTTTCTAAGGGACATTTTACTGTGTCTGCCCAACATACTGTTGAACCTACTCAGGTAAAAACATGCGTGACGGGTTACTCTTTTGACGTGGGGCCTGAAAGTGAGCCTTGTGTCTAGAGTGATACCTAAATATTTGGCAGTCGTATGCCAGGGGACAGGAGTCCCTAGCATACGTATTGGTGGGGTGTTTTTGAGACGGCGTCGTTTATAATCGAAGTGAACGGCGGAGCTCTTCTCCGGGTTTACATCGATGCGCCATTTTTTGAACCAAGCTCCTAGGTCATTGACTGACTTTTGAATCTTGTTCCGTATGAAACGTAGCGAGATACCTTTGCAGTAGATAGCAGTGTCGTCTGCGAAGAGGGAGAGCTGAACACCTTTCGACGGGATGGGAATGTCGTTGGTGAACAGGATGTACAGCAGAGGAGCAAGTACTGAGACCTGAGGGACACCACCTTTGATAGGGCGCTGTGAAGATAGCGTGCCTTCGTGTCTAAAACGAAAGGTACGATGCTTTAAGTAAGAGGCTACGAGACGTACTAGACGATCGGGGAGACCTATTTTGTACAGCTTGTAGATAAGGCCTGTATGCCAGACTCTATCGAAGGCTTTAGCTATGTCGAAAAAGACCGCAATGTCTTATGACGACGAGGATAAAAACCGCTGAGGATATATTCCACAATACGGTGAACTTGTTGGGGACATGAGTGTTGCGCTCGGAATCCGAAACTCCCTGCACACAAAATTTTATGAAAAAAAAAAATATATATATATACAAGAATTGCTCGTTTAAAGGTATAGGATATATAGGCTCTACACACATGCCGCCGTTAAGCGATGCCATTTACACGGAAATTTGGGTCTATTCAGCAATGAAACAACGGTACACGGCAGCATATTAATCGCCGTGTTTTAAAACATGGCAATCCAATGGTTTTTTTTTTCGATAATTTTGTCGATAGTCGATAAGTAATTATAACGCACATCTGCAGACTTAGACTACACTGGACGTAGAATCATGACTAATACTCTTATCCTATTAGTTTTTGGTCATGATTCGACGAGCGGGGAAATCCCGATGCGCATTCGATATAGATTCTCGCACACTTCGTTGTTTATGGTAATCATTTCATTCATTCATTTATTTAAAAGTACATTTAAAAAGATTTATACTGCTGTTTATTTACTTTATTTAGTGTGGTGTGTGAGAAAACTATAAACATGGATAGTGAGAAAGAATAGCCGTGTACTTCAAAAAAGGTAAAGAAACGAACACATTTACCCCAATTTTAAAGATTTGATTCAACCCGTGTATAACGATGTAAGGTCAACCGGGGCTAAGGCGTCTTAGGGGTTAAGGCGTCACATTCAAATATCGTATGAAATACGAATTTAAGAACTACTCACGCCATCTTTTAAACATATTTAGCACCAGACTAAAATATTTAATTAGTAGATGTCGATACTGGCCTCATTTTTGTTTAAATTTTCGCCATCTTGAATATGTCACTTCACTTCGAAGCTCGCGTTAGTGATATATGGTTATTGAATCCCCTTAAATCTCAGTGTTTTCTAGACTATCGGTGTTTTTTACCTGTAAGTACCTTTCATTCTGAAATGTTTTACGGTTTGTTTTAATTATTTTTAGTAAAGGCCTAAAGATTAATTGTCCACGTGCAGTTAAAATATTTTAGGTTATGTTTCTTTATCGGGGCTATCGCGTCTGCCTTATTGGGGTGATTGCGTCTATTGTAACGCAATAGCCCCATTGTATGAGGTCCTAAACCTTTTTATTTTAAGATTACAATAATGCAATAATTGATCTAAATACATATACGCTAAAATCATTTTTTTAAATATAGTTATGCTATTTATATATGGATGGATGAATATATGCATGTTTGTTACTCTTTCACGCCTAAACGAAAGAACAGATTTTGATGAAATTTGGTATGGAGATAGATTAGACCCTGGATTAATAAATACATAATAGGCTTTTAACAGACTTTGGAAGAAGTAGGTGGTTTCTCGCGAGTGAAACGGAATTACTTTAAATATTACAAACAAAATATATTGTTTGTAATATTTGAAGTTTTTTTTTGGGTAATTTCACTGTTTGACACATTTTTCTAGATGTCTTTGTTACTTTTCTTTTAGATTTTTTAAAATGGTTCGTTCATATAAAAGAAAAACAACACCAACTTACGATCTTGAAAACTTAAGGAAAGCAGTAGATGAAGTCAAAACTGGCAAAATAAATTCGTACCAAGCTGCAAAAAAGTATAATATTCCTCGTATGACTATATGTGATAGAGTGAATAACAAAAAAGGTATCGTAAAGGAGAGCTGAGTACCACCTACAGTGATTGACAGAGAAAATGAGCTCAAACTTGCAAATGGTTTACGGGTTATGGAAAAATATGGGTTCGGACCCACTTCCAAAGAAACGCTAGATTTAGTTGCCGTACACATGAGTGAAAATAACTACAAAACTCCATTCAAAAACAACAGACCCGGTTATGATTGGTTTGCTGCCTTCAAGAAGAGGCACAATTTGTCCTTAAAAAGACCTCAGGCGGTGGAAATGTCAAGAAAAGTGGTATGTGACCCTTTTATTGTTAATGAGTATTTTGATACTCTTGATGGAGTTTTGAGTGAACTTAATTTAAAAGGAAGACTTGATAAAATTTGGAACCTTGACGAGTCAAGTTTTGGAAAAGATCCCGAACGAACAAAAGTGGTTGGAGCCCGTGGATGTGCCAGTACACGCACAATTGCATCATCTGGAAAAGATAATGTCACAATTTTGTTTACAGTCAACGCAATCGGTGACAAATTACCACCGTTGATTATACACAGAGGAAAAAATACGTGGGACCAATGGCTGTCAGATAAAGGATTTGAAAACACATCCTATGCTGCCACTAAAAATGGATGGATCGATGCAAAAGTATTTGAAAAGTATATGTTGAACACAGTGCTACCGCGTTTAAGTGAAGATCCACCCGCTTTATTAATATTTAATGGCCATTCTACCCATATCCAACTTAAAATTTTAGAAAAAGCACAAAAACGAGGCGTAACTATTATAAAATTACCATCACATGCAAGCCATCTTCTGCAGCCATTAGATTTATCAGTTTTTATATCAATGAAAAACACTTGGGATGCAAAACTTGTGCATTGGCAACGGTTAAATGTGGGCACTAAATTGCCAAAAGATGAGTTTAGTCGCCTTCTTGGAAAAGTTTGGCGTGAATTAGACACAAAAATAATTAGAAATGGCTTTAAAAAAGGGGGCATATATCCATTTGACAGAAACGTAGTTGCGGACGAAAAATTTGATCCAGAATCATTGAAAAGGTTCAGGGAACATAAAACGATACCAAAACAGATTCAGACATTAAAAAAGTTAAGTTTGGCGGCCGTTACCCAAGAGTTATGCATTAGCAAAAATCCCATAGCAGCGTCATCAAAATTAGTTTTGCCAAACCAGGAGATGAAATTTGATAAGTCTAATGATTCAAAGGTAATTAGAATTATTGAAGATAGAATTTTAGCTCCCTCGGAAAGAGTTTCTTTCGAAACTTTATTATTGCAGACAATAAAGAAAAGTGACTCGACAATAAAATTGAAAAAAACTAAAATTGGTAGGGGGGTGTGAAATAATAACGCGAGAACAGTTTATAGAAAAAAAAAACGGAACGAAGAAAAAATAAAGCAAGAAAAGGAAAGAACTGCCATAAAAATCCCCAAAACAAAAAATATTAAAAAAGAATTGGACCAAAACCGAAAAAGAAATTGTATAAAATTACAACAACAAGATGAGACTGATGAAAGCAAAGATATTTAAAAAAAAACTTTGTAGTAAGAGCTTATCTAAGCAAAAACCTAATAAAAATGTTAAAAAGAAAGCTAAGAAACAAAAGAAGTGTTTTGATTATGACGAAGAATCTGAAAGTGAATTAGATATTAGTTTTGCTGAATTTTCCGGTTCTGCTGAACTTTCTCATGAAGATTTTGATACATATCGTGAAAACTTTTTAGCGGAAATAAAAAGTGATGATAACTTTCTCGAAGATTTGTTGCCAGCCACAACAGAAGAAAAAGAAAATGACAAATCTTACGTAAATAATGATGTAGACACTACAAATATTGAACAATTTGAACCGAATTTAAACAAAAAGAACCTAGAAGTTAGTGATTGGATACCAGTAAGATTCACAACAAAAAAGTCTGTGAAGTATTTTGTGGGGACCATCATTTCTATTAATGACAATAACATTCCTAACGTCAAATTTTTAAGACAAATAAAAAATAGTAAATTTGTTTCCTTTCATTATCCAGACGTGTAGGATATATCAGAAGTAAAGAGTAATGATGATATCATAATGTTCCTTGAAAAGTCTGATATATCTCGAAGAGGGCATATTACTTTCAAAGAAAATTTTAAAATGTATAACATTCAGTGATTGTCAAATTAATTTAGTAATTAAGAAGACCTGAGTGAGAGTGACAATATCTATAAAATTGCATGTGATCTCATTACCTGATTATTGTGATAACAATGATAATGTAACTAATATTATTTAATAATAATATTTGTTAAGGTACTTCACACCTAGCGAATGTTACACAATTAAAGTCAAATTTTACATACAACATTCAACATACAATAGGTATATAAGATTACACTATTAAAAAAACTGATTATTAAGAATTTAGTAATGATGACAGTATTAACTAAATAAAACATCTCATACTTTTTTTGTATTCGCTTTTTTATTTTCTATTAGAACTCGTATTTTTATTATACACTATTTACCTAATTTCAATGTGTTTGATTTTTTTTTATAAATGCTAGGTGTATAAAAGTGGAACTTGTTTGCAAATTATGTCAATGGCAACTTTTTTTTCTCACAAGTAATGAGAAAAAAATCGTTTGATACCCCTGGAATTTAGGATGGGGCGAATGCGTCAACCACTTAAAGTATAAATTAGACGCCATAGCCCCAAATTTTTTTGTTCGACTTAATAGGAGAGACGAAGCCAAGAATATCGCTTATAAGATAATAACTAGCTATATCATGAGCGATCTGATATATTTTTTCGATTAATTGTGTTATGAAGGCTTCCTATTATGTGGTACTTGCTAAAGACGCCTTTGCCCCACCTGGGGCTTTTGCGTCTAAAATTCTCAATTTGTAAAGAATGGGTGTTTTCAAGCAAAGGTTTTAAAAAAATCACGAAATAATATTTAAATATAAAATTTTATTAAATAATGTGTTATATGTTTTAATTCACATTGTTTTAAATTATACAACTAAATTAATATGATCAGTTAAAAATGCCGCTTAAAGTATCGTAACGCATTAGCCCCGGTTGACCTTATATAAAGCAAAATGTAAATTATGTGACGTAAAATTGAGCTGCAAATTGTCAACTTTAAAGCGACACAACGAAAACAACATCAGAAACATGAATCAAGTTTAAACAAATCTAAATCAATCATATTTTAGAGGTGCCTCAAACTAAGGATTCTGACACAATGGTGACGGAAGCAGAAATTAAATTATGCGCTTTCGTCGCTGAACATAACATTTCGTTTCTCGCTATGGATTACCTTAGCGAACTTATGCGATCCTGTTTTCCGGACTGAAAAATAGCAACTGAAATAAAACTAAAAAGAACAACATGTACGGGTACAGTTACAAATATCATTGGCAAACAACATAAGGACCCCCAACTTCCACTAAAGCTTCAATAAACAAGGTTTAGTGTTGTAGTAATAGATGAATCTATAGATATCGCCTACTTGAAAACTATGTGCATCGTGGTCATATTTTACGATACTACTTCTTCAAAAATTGAAGCATGTTAATGGGAGTTAGTTCCACTGTTTAGAAACGGCGATTTTGAGAAAAAAAATGTAGACGGCTGCAATACAAATGTAATATATGAAGCAATTATTAAAAGTTTTTTTAATCGTGATGTACCTCTAACAAAAATTATTAGGTTTGCATCAGAAGGTAGGGAATGCAGTCTTGTTTGCGTCAAGATCTCGGCCTTTTTTAGCGAGATTGATCTCGGACGAAAAAAGGGCGAGATCTTGTGAGTTTAACGAGATTGCACTCGAGCATAAAAACGTCTTATTCAAAGCGCGGCCTGACACGGACGGAGTTGCGATCGTTGTTTTGTTTGTTATAAAAGTACTGTTTTATTACTAAAAGGTTTTTGTTTGATATTAGAAGAGAAGACTAGTTGTTCCTTTCATGTTATTTGATAGATACGTACGTCAAAGTTTACTACTTAGAAGTTTATTAAAAAATTATAGACAGATACGTCAAACAACGTCTGATGCATAAAAGTCTATTGAAAAAATTCGTGAAAATAAATGTTTATCTTATAATACTTATAATTTTTATATCTTTTTTTTCTACTAAAATATTGTGATTATTTGCAAAGAAAACACACAAAACTGCCAATCTCGCGAGATCTCGCAGTATTGTTATTCATAAAGTTACGGGATCTTGCTTGAGCCCCAATCTTGCTAGATTTGCGTTCCCTATCAGAAGGGTGTAACGTTATGACGGGCGCGCACAATTCTTCTTCAATTCACAAATTGAAAAATAATTATCCGGGCACCAAAATATTCAAATGTATATGTCATTCCGTGCACCTATGTGCCAGTGCGGCCTGCAAAGAATTACCGGGGCGCTGTGAGGATTTTGTGAGAAATATATACAGCTATTTTTTAAATATTCAGATTTTTACAAATAGTATCGTGGAATGTGACAACTTTGCCTACCAACGTGTCTTTGCCCAAAAAGCAATTTATAAACAAATCTGTTATTGAGGGAAAATATTTCAAATTTACGGCAATATTGATTAGTTCAGTGGTAAGTCAGTTATATTTGTGGCAGCACTAAGTATTGCATTTGTTTTTGATTGCACTCAGTAACTTCACAGAACTTGTTGTTGTGGTGGAAGTTTTCGCGGGAAACATTACTGTTGTAAAATGTTAGAGAATTGTGCTTCATTGCGAAAACGCAGGTTTTTTTAATTGTATGTTATAAAATATCAATTGTAGAGTATTTTAATCGTAGTTTGAGTACTAAAAGGTTTATAAATCAAAACTTGTGATAGCCCACTATATTTACACACAAAGTTACCCAATAATGTTCAGACCCAAAAATGTCAACATTGCCCGCCATCAAAAAATACTGAAGGATGTCAGTTGTTTTATTTTTTTAGATTGATTATTTTTCGTTTATAAATTATTTTTTCTTTTTACGTATTTTTTTAATCATTTACTTTTCACTATCCCATATCAAATGTACTGATATAATTTTTTCTATAAATTAATAACTTTCGAGAGTGGTATTCTAGTTTAAAAGTACTTATAAAAGCATACTATCATGATTGGCCGATTAGTTTTGTACTCAACCAAAGTCCTTAATCATGAGTTCGCGATGCCACAGCAGCGTAACTAACTCATGATTAAGGAGTCCTGTTAAATTGGAAACTAATTCACCAATCCCCATAAAATGCACGTGAGCAAACTTTTAGTGATTTTGGCTCTCCGCTAGCTAAACTAGATCTCAAGCTATTGATTCAAGAATATTTAAAAAAATCTTGAAAGCATTTGTTCAAGATAGAAAGCTATAAATAGTGATAAATCATAAGAACTTCATGAAATATTTCTAAAGCAAGAGCCGAAAAGTTTCAACAAGAACATTCAACAAAGACAAACAAGAAATTGCAAACTATTTTGTAAATTTAAGTAGAACATTGACCCAGCGTTCACAGTCCCAACGATGTTTTAAAATGTTGCGCGCCATAATTAATGCCACTAGCGTCATCTAGTATGGAGTAGCGGAATTAGTAGAGCTTTCTTGAAAATTCCCTACTAGAACTTTCTACACCTAGTCGGTTGGGACCGGTACGTGCTCGAACATTCTAGATGTTTCAATGGAAAAGACCCTGTAAAGTAAGTGTAAAGGTGTGTATATGGCCAGTAAGGACCGCGACCAAGTCAGTATTGAACTGGCGAATCAAGCGAATAATACTTCGAAACGAGAGAGTAGTACAATTGTGTTTTATTATTAGTGTGTTTTAAGTTGTAATTGGTGTTTGGTACCTAATTAAAGTGTCAATTTTGGTAATTCAATCAGCAGGTTTTATTGTCACGAATCCCAAGCTCGTAACAATTGGTGTCAGAAGTGAGATTAAATCATGCCGATTTTACCTAAGGATGACACGGAGGATGTCCGTATCCGATTTAGGTGCTCTGATGATGATGCTGCAGGAATAGTTCCACCGACAGGAGGTAAGGTAATCGATCTCGAGAGGGTAGTGCGGCTAACAGCACCGTCCAGTAGCAGCAGGGAAATGAGTAACAGCCAGGACTGCCGGGTGGGTGTTGGCTGATTTTAAAAGAGCCCCAAGGATCTCGATCTCACAAACCCATGATGTTAACAGCCTAATCATCAAGGGCGAGGTCAACGGAATGCCGTGTAAACTGACCGTAGACACTTGATCTCTCGCACGGTTGTCAGGTCCCAACTTATAAGCCAGTGCCTTGGGAGCTCCGCAAACAACCGAGAACGCATTAATTTGGTGACAGCCACCGGTCAGCGCATACGGGTATACTCCAAGGAGATGGAGTTAAAGCTAGGCAATATGATCTACCTGCATAATGTCATCGTGGCTGATATAACGGACGAATGCATTCTGGGTCTAAACTTTATGTGGAAGAATTGTAGTGAGATCGACGTTAAGCAAGACGTTTTGAAATGTGGACAAGAGGAAGTTTTCGTGGAAGGGGCGTTACCAGGAAACATGTACAGCATTAAGAAGGTTTTTCTTCCGCCGAGATCGGAAACTTTTATGCCAGTTAGTCTTCCTTGGGCAAGTTCATCGTTGTGTACTCGTGGAAAGGGTAGACAATGACCTTCCATGGAAAGTGGCTCGAACCTTGGTAAGAACCACTGACATCCCAGGATTACGTGTGCTGAACCTTTGTGACCAACTTATTTTGTGTAACAGAAGGCACACTGGTTGGTACTTGTGAGGAAGTGGATTGGTTGCGTCCTCAGATCACAGAAACAACAGCCGCAAAGCGGCCTGATGCCCGTTTCAGTAATTTGTCGAAAGTCAACTTGCGACGTCTTCACTGCTCGTTATTTTTGACAAAATGCCGCGATGTTCAGTGATTGTTTGCAAAAATAACAGCTGTACTGTGAATCACATTAAGGATGGCATCTCATTTCATACGTAAATAACTTATTTCATGCTAAAATATTTATGTTTTTCTTATTAAAATTCATTAAAACATTACTTCGTGGTAATGGAA